ACTACAACGAAGACTTATGCATCCAGGACACTCCTTTTTTTGAAAAATGATGGGACTTTGAAGCCACTGGTGATTGAATTGAGCTTGCCACATCCAGAGGGAGATCAATTTGGTGCCATTAGCAAAGTGTATACACCAGCTGAACATGGAGTTGAAGGTTCCATTTGGCAGCTAGCTAAAGCTTATGTTGCTATCAATGACTCTGGCCATCATGAGCTCATAAGCCACTGGTATGCATCGTTTTAGGGAAGAGGCAAATTTAACTCAAGATATTCCTGATTTTAAAGTGGGGTTTTAATTGTATTTTACAAAATCTGTTCATGGGTTGAACACTCATGCAACTATTGAGCCATTTGTGATTGCGACAAATAGGCAGTTGAGTGCAGTTCATCCCATCTACAAACTTCTCCATCCTCACTTCCGCGATACCATGAACATAAATGCATTTGCTAGGCAAATCCTGATTAATGCTGGGGGAGTTTTGGAGGCAACAGTTTTCCCAGCAAGGTATTCCATGGAATTGTCATCTGTAATATACAAAAACTGGGTATTTCCGGACCAAGCACTTCCCAAAGACCTTAAGAAGAGGTAAATCACTAAATGTTTATAGCCTTCCTTATAGGAACTATAGTACAAGTTACTTCTAACTCAACGTTGTACAAATTTAAAAGTTCTGAAAATGTGATGGATATGACATGGTACCCTTTTGATTCATTCAGGGGAGTGGCAGTTGACGATCCAGAATCAAAGCATGGTATCCGACTACTGATAAAAGACTATCCATTTGCTGTTGATGGGCTTGAAATCTGGTCAGCAATCAAAGATTGGGTGGGAGACTATTGCTCCTTCTACTATAAAACTGACGAAATGATTCAACAAGATACTGAACTCCAATCGTGGTGGAAAGAATTGAAAGAAGAAGGGCATGGTGACAAGAAAGATGAGCCATGGTGGCCTAAAATGCAGACTAGGGAAGAGCTGATAGAAACCTGCACCATTGTCATCTGGGTTGCCTCTGCCCTCCATGCAGCAACCAACTTTGGTCAATACCCTTATGCTGGCTACCTCCCCAATCGCCCCACAATCAGCAGGAGGTTCATGCCAGAGAAGGGCACCCTTGAATACGATGAGCTTGAGGCAAACCCGGATAAGGCTTTCCTGAAAACAATAACTGCAAAGCTACAGACACTCATGGGCATCTCCCTCATCGAAATCCTATCAAGGCATTCATCTGATGAGGTGTATCTGGGACAGAGGGACACCCCTGAATGGACCACTGATGCAACACCATTAAAAGCCTTTGAAGAGTTTGGGAAGAGACTTTTAGAGATTGAAGAGGAGATCATTGGAATGAACAATGACAGGCAATGGAAGAACAGGGTTGGTCCAGTGAAGATACCGTATACCTTGCTTTATCCTACCAGTGAAGGTGGTGGTGGAATCACCGGAAAGGGAATTCCCAACAGTGTCTCAATATAAAAAACTACCACAAATCCTTTAGACAAAATTGTTACTAAGGAAATGTCTCTTCTTTGTTATGATTCTCAACATTAAATAAATTCATTGAAAATAATTGCATATTGCAACAACACTACTCTCTCATTATCAATGATATGATTAATCTAATATTTGAAGCAACGGCTAGCTGGCGAC